AATATAAATTATAGTTTTACGTCAAAAAAATTTATTTTTTGAAAATCGACTATTAATTTTTTAAAAAAAAAAAGTCAACCACATTAATTTTTTTTTTTTTTTAAGAAGAATTTTGCAAAGAAATAAAAGAATACAACAAATTAATAACCGTGAAACATAACATTTATTTATTTTTATTTTTTTTTTTTTTTGACAATTGATGATTTTAAAATATTATTGAAAAGTTTAAGAGAGCCGTGAATTTAAAAAAATTTATTATTATTCTTTTTTAATATTTAAAAAAAAAAAAAAAAAAAAAAAAAAACCTCGAAATATGCTGCATGCACTCGAAAAAAAATTTTTTTTGTTTAAATTATTAAATGGGTATTGAATATAAGCCAAAATATACAGGAATTATTGTTATTATTATTTTTTTTTTTCACAAAACATCAAACGAATATTTAAATTGTTTTAATTATGATTTCCGTTTCTAATTATTTAAATTATAAAAAAAGACAAAAACGTTTTTAACCCTTGTGGTGTTTGTGTTTATTTTTTTTTTTTTTTTACAAAAGGCATTTATCCGCGTCAAATAAACAATAAACTAATTAATTTTTTTAATTATTAATGACGTAATTGTGAACCATAAACTAAAATTTTAATTTTTTGTAAATAAATATGATGGTATACAATCATGTATTCCTCCTTTAGCACATATATTGTCACACTATTTATTTATTTTCTTAATAATCTCCCTTAAATTTGAATTTTTATTTTTTTACTGCATGTTTTCCATTTTGTTTCCCCCTTGATTCAATTAAAAATCCTAAAAAGAAGGTTTCCTATACTCCAAATACCTGATTTGGCCTTTAATCGAGTTTATTAATTCTTATAATAAATGAAAATATTAATTAAAATAAGAAAAACCCGCACGCAAAAAATTATGAAATTTTTCAACTTATTATTATTATTATTATTACTCTTTTTTATAATTAATATTTTTTCTTTAAATCACGACAAGTTTTATAAACATGTCAAAATTTTTCCGAGATAAAGTTTCACAGGTTTTCCTTCCTTTTCTTAGAAATACGTGCCTGATATTTATATATATCGGTGATACTATTTATAAAATTTTCCAATGAATTATTATTATTATTATTATTACATTCATATAAATCATGGTTATGTATATGCATCGATGGTTAAAAAAATAATAATTATTATTATTATTATTATTATTGGAATTTATTAAATATTGTATTTTTGCCAACCGAATTTTTTCTTTTTTTCTTTTTTTTTTTTTTAAAAAAAAAATTCTCACTTGGAAAAAATTAAAAATAAATGAATAAG